TTGCTTCCCTCTTCTTATAACCAGTGTAAACTAAAGTTGAATTTTAAAAACTGTAGATCATATAAAATTACAATTGCTTTGGTCTTTTCCATTTTTCCCATGTTCTCTGGTTTGATACTCTGCTCTATTCTTCCACTTCCTAATTCTATTATGGACAGTTTACAGCTTTCTGAAATATTAGAGTTGGCCATCAATCCTTGCAATCCTACCGCATATTTGTCAATATATCATTGGACAAAATATAAATACCGTTTTTACTTTCCTACCTATACTAGGTAAGGAAAGTATTGCAATCGGGTCAAATTTCCGACATCCGGTTTTCGACGGATCTATACGTTTCACAACCCCCTGAGTCCGAAAAACACATTTTTAGCCATTGGTCTGTCTGTCTTTGCCAAAATTTTCTCGGGAACTACTGAACCGATTTCGTTGCTTCTTTTTTTATTTTGTAGGGTTTTGACTACCGATGCCTGTGACAGAAATTCGGTGCTCCATGCGCAATAGCTTGCGCGCAATAAATTAAAAACACTATTTTCTATAGACTGTAGCGCAAAAATGGCTCTGACGATTTTGAATAAACTTTCCTATAATGTTCTAATCATTGTCCTTTCAATTTCTGTATATGGACTAAATTCCCGAAAAAAAAGTTATAAAGAAAAGAAAAATTTTAAGGGGCCTAACTCGCTAAGTATATATTATACGGTAAAATTTGTAATAAAACTTTTGAAAGGTAATTAAATTACCAACGAAACAAAAAAAAATTATTGGAATCGAACCAGTATTAGCTATGATACAGCCTATTCTATTTTTTGCACATTTTTTTAACTTATTACTTTCCTACCTATACTAGGTAAGGAAAGTATTGCAATCGGGTCAAATTTCCGATATCAGATTTTCGACGGATCTATACGTTTCACAGCCCCCCCTGAGTCCGATAAACACGCCGTTTAGCATATCGTTTGAAAGGTAATAAAATTCCCTACAAAGCCATATAAATTGTTCATTTTGGACAATTATTAGCGAAGTTACAGCTATTCAATTTCCAATGAAAGATTACGAGTTTACTGTAGCCGCATCACACAATCTTCACTATTTCCTCTACTTTTAACAGAAATTATTGTTTGACAATACTAAGCTATAGCAAAAAGTTTTTGATCAGTAATATTAGTGAGTATCGAAATTTTTACACTGATCTACCTAAAGCCGGTTTCATTGCCTTATCTAATAAATTGTACTCAAATCTTTTGTTTGATCAATTTTCAGAAAAATAAATGTAGTTCAATTCTTTTTTGTTTCTTCATGAACATATGTAAAGATATAAAACCTTTTCTGAAATAGGTAGGAAAGTCGTGTGAGTGGACACCCAGATTTTTTATCTGAAAAATTACTTTAGGCAAACTACCAGGTTGCCAAAAATACCTTAAAATCGTTCGTGCTTCAGATAATATGCGTCCTGCCATCCCTAATATTTCGGTCAAAGGATTTACTTTAAAAGAGCTTAAGCAAACATAGTCATCAATGAATGCATTTTCACGAAGTTGATCCGTTTCTTGTGCTGTCGATCTTTTTTTTTTTAGTAGTATAAGTTACACGTTGCTAATCAAAAGTACTCATTTTATCTTATGAAATCGCAATTTACAACAAAAATAAATAAATAAAAATGACCTATGTGATATATATCATTTTAACTGTCGTGGGTTCTTTTAATATTTTGAAACTCTCGTAAAAAGCATTATAATAATATTAAAAATGATGTAATTATTTTTAGTTATAATCTTTATGGAATATTTTTTAGTAAAAAGCAGAACCGGTACCAGGACTTTAGCCACATCGTGGCAAGCTTAATTTTGTATTTTGTCACCCTTTCTTTTACACTTCCCTCTCCTATATGAGTCAACAGTTGAATAACAGATATTTTGGTAATACGTTTCTAAATAAATATCATATTATCAACTATTTCTACAGAATATATGTCAAAACGATAAAAAAACAAAAAAATATTTTCATTAAATTAAAATTAAATTTCCCTGTAGAATTAGCCACCTCCTATAGAAATAGGAAGAAGTTCTGTTCAATTTGATAAATGATATTTTTAAGGTATGATATATACATTAATGGGCATAAGGGAATGAAGGGTACTTTTATTTAACACACTATCTGTTATTCATAATTGTGAAAAATTCAAAATGTTTTTGGATAGGCGTAGCGTACGTCTAAATTTTGAGGTTCACGAATAATAGAGAATTTTTTTTATTTATAGTTATGCCATTGATAAAAAACTACACGAAGGCTAAAGGCATAACCGAACTCTTCGGTGTGTCATCAATATACCATACAGATGCTTATGACTGTCCACAAGATAGACATTCCATAATCATACACATAATGATTGAAATACCCTAAGGATGTCGTGGACGGATACACTCGCCTGTCACTGCTCGAGGACGGGCACTGTTTGGAGAGAGTGGTGGACTCATCGAATTCTCGGATCCAGGTTGTGTCAGCTACCTGATTCAGGAACTACCGCTTCTGAAAAACAAGTCCGCCGGCAGTCATCTAGTCGTCTGACCTCTTTCGACGAACTATTGCGATTAATGTTCATGATATACGGCTTTACCACACAAAGAATCATAGGCGTAGTAGCGTCAGAAAATACAGGAATACTCGCAACTTAACATTAAGTCATCAATCCATCATCGTTGGTGGAGAAGGTTCCAGTACTTTCGGCTAAAAAGACTAATATTAATATGAGATAAGTAGATGGAATAAATATGCAGAAGTCTTTAAATTACTGTAAGAAAAAAATAACAGTTAGTTAATTATTATAAACCCCTAAGAATTGCAGACAGCGCAACCACTCAAGCAAGGGTGCCAACCCTCCATTATGGTTCTCCACTTTCAGCTTACCAACCTGCCTCCAAATGGGTCTAATTAGTCCCAAGTTCCCATTTCCATGCAACCATTCGATTTCATCAATACTACTTAGTGTTTTACGTGAGTAGTAAAGTTAGGGAAAAATCTTTTCTATTAAATAAATTATTTAATTACCATTACCTTTAGGCTTCCATAACATCCTCAGATGATATAGTGGTTTTATAAGGGTTGAAAACTACTGTAATACTAATATAAGCCATGTTAACTTCTAAATTAAATAGTACTGAAACCAAGACCTTTCTTGGGTTGTTGCTACACAGGTTTTTTTTTAAATTTATTATTATTAGGGATAATAAATAAAATCCTTAAAACCACTCATCATTTGAAGTTGGTCTAACAGCAGAAGCATGATGAGAATATACTTTTGAGAGGTGAAGCATTTTTTAGTTCCACAAATTCCTAATAAATTATGTACTTTCAACTTAGTGCATAAATATACTACTGATACTTTGACGAAAATATTATTTGGCACTTGGAGCTGTCAATTTAGTTGGTATGTTCAGTGAATGCAGAACCATAGAAAGAAATCAAGAGCTCCAGGAATAATTTCCCATCCAATTGTAGCCTCTTATCAAGTATGAACAAATATATTATGTAGAGATATTACATAATGTATGTAATGTTATTTATACTTTATTTTAATGTACATTAAGAAGTTGAAAAACAAAATCTTGTAGTCCAGACCCTGGAACTGAGAACCCACCTCTCCTCGGTGCTAAGTGAATGATGTTCCAAAAGGGCAAGTCACTCCCTTTATTATAAATTATAGGGGGAAAAACCTTATACTTTACATCAGAACATAGAGTATTTGTGCAACAATAACTCATTTAGGATTTGATCTTGAGGGACTTCAGCCAGAAAGCCTCTTTTTTTATTAAATATAATTATTACTTTGGAAAAAAAGAAAAAACCAACTACCTATACAAAATGGTGTTTAAGTGATTCTTGGAGTCTTATTAAATGTTCTTACATGAACAGTAGTACTTTTAATATAGATAATATTTAGTAGAGATAATTTTTTAATATATTTTTCATAAGACATGGTAATATTTTACCATTTTGGGGAGCTTCAGCAAGAAAGTTCCCCTTTACCCCATAGATCAACCTGTGTAACTCACCACCACTTAGTGCTAAAAAAGTCATGTCTTCTCCTTTAAATATATTTGGTTCTGGTTTCAGATGGATGTAAATGTTAAGGTATTCTAATTTAAGAAACTGTTTCTTTCTTTCAATTTCATTTCTTTCTTAATAATTTAAGCAGAGCTGGTCCATCAATATCCAAGACTATATATAATAAAATATAAGTCTATATAATAAAACTGTTTAAAAAAAAAAAAATGATAAATCTATTTTAGTTATTTGCTTAGAACATAGCGTCACCTAAATATGTAAATAGCAAAATGTAATTTATTATGATCACTGAAATACCATAAGGGATAAATTCACAATGAAGCCTCATTGTCAAAATAAGTTTTTAAAATTTATTCCAAACAAACTAGGCACTGCTGAATCTATTTCACAAATTTTCTACTTTGTTTTACCCTTTACAGTACTTAAGTTGTAACTTTTGGGTACCCAATGGCCCAACAATGTGCTTTTTGTGGACCCAGTTTTAGGTCAGTAAGTTTTATTTGATTTTTTTTTCCTGTAGGAATTACATACTTCATAGTTCTTGGACTAGCCTTCTCCACCTTTTCTTATTTCTCGTCAACTGCTTTCCAGTTTCATGCATGTTGTTTTGCAACATCTTTGTTCATAAGAAAATCTCAACTTACATTACCAAATACATATCCAGCATTAGTTGCTTCCTCTTACATTATATATATAGATTTGAAAAAAATTTAATATTTACCACAATAGAATAACATTAAAGTAACCTGAAATTATATTTCTAGCCTCCTGAAGAACAATCGAGTATACTTTAATTACAAGGTTAGCCCTAACCATTATAAACATAAGTTAGATAAGTTAATTTGGGAAAAATAAATTAATATTCTAATAAAAGTTAATTTATTATTTGTATCAGATAAATTATATTATCATTAATTAGAGGAAGAGCTTAATAATCATTCATCAACAGGAACAGCTTTGGCATGATGGTTCCGCAGCAGATGATCTGAAAATTCTGCGTACGGTGCCCTAGATAATGGCACATCACGCCAGAGATCTGGCGTCAGATAACCATATGTTTTTGATATGGCTTCAAACGTAGCTTTTGCTAGAAACAAAAAAAAAAAAATTAATATACTATCCTTTTGGATTTTTCCTGTATTTTCAGTGCAAACTTGATTTGCAAATAATTTTAATATTCTATAATATTTATCCCATAAATCAACAATGCAATGATTAACAAATTCTTTAAAACTTATAAAGTTATATATAATGTTCTTTACATAGTAAGAAGACAATGAATAAAAGAAAAATAACAATGAAGTCTTACATATTCTTTTACCGAAAAATAGTTTTACAATAAATTTCTGACAACTGAGCTCAGACCCTTTTAACCATCCTAGGAAATCAACTCCTCTGGTGGAAACCGCAAAAGTTTGAACAAAATTATCATCATAGTTCAGACGATGATTAAAATAATTTGAAAAAGTAAAGAATTCACAATCTCAATATAATAAAAGTCAACTTCTCACCAGCTACAAGAAGTCCAGGACTGATATAAAAAGTATCATGCAACTTCTCATAAAAGGGAATTTTAAAAATAAAAGTTAAATTGAATGATAGAAACAGTCTTTAGATAAAAGATGCTTGAGGATCTCTTTTAACAAATAATTCAATAATAATTTGTGAAAAAGGTTGAGTTCAGATGCTTCTAAACCATCCTGAGAAAAAAAAATCATATAGTAGAAACCACAAAAGTTAAAATTTAACTCTCATTACTGTTCAAAAAACCTGAAACCTGAATTTAGTCTCATCACAAAAGTTTAAAGGGAGGTGCTAAGGAGTCATTTGCCAAGGGTAGAATTTAGAAGGCGCTCAATGTAAAGTGACTTTTTACGTTTAGGTCTTTATTTAACCATTACAGTGAGTTAATGTCATGATATGATGATACTTATCTCAAAATATATTACCTAAAACTATTGATTATAATGGAGAGGTATTTAAAAAGAGGGGCAGAAAAATTAAGCTCATCCTGTCTATATTCTTTTCTTGAGGTGATTTGGGTATACTCTGCGCAAATAATTTGCCCCAAAAGATTGAGAAATTTAAAAAAAATAATTTTTTTCAAGTAGAGGATCTCTCCTTTTTTTACAATTACTTTTTTCATAATTTTGTTTCTTATAATTTCTGGTATTTTATTTTTAATTGTTTCTACGTCGTAACGGAGATAGCTGCTCTATTTGGCTCTTTCCTAGCTACCTCCATGTTTTTGTCTCCTGCATGTATTATAACAATTATTTATTATTATTTATCATATGATTATTATGATAAACCGTAACTTCAGAATATTTAATCCACTCATAGAGAGTCTATTTGTCATTTACAGATTGTTTAATTAATTTAAACTATTATGGCTAATGGATGAAATCAGATAGTTTGATGTTATGTTAAATTTCTTGAATGATTTCTTATAGAGAAATATTGTTGAATAATTAGATATAATACTCATATCACATGGTATATTTTTATTGTGAATGCGAGGTTATTATGTTTTTACTGATATTAGCATTATGTGACTTGATAATGAAATTGGTTTATATTTAATCTATAAAAAATCAAAAACTTATTGAAATTGTTTCTTCCTAGTCTGCATGCCTTTATAATGAAAATGTTGAATATCTGATAATGATAAGATTAATGTTTAATTTTACTATGAAATATTAAAGGATGAATTGTTCCATTCATTTTTCTCCTTTTTTAAAAGACTGTAAGTATGTTTTAAAATGTATAGATATTATTACTGTTTTAATATGTTTTGTTGAAATAAATATTACATAATTATAGCTGTTATTTTATTAAATATATTATTTCCTGAATTAATTTGAGTCTTAAGAGTCTAACCAACTTGCATTATAAGGATGTCATCAAATCTATTTTCCATAAAAACTATTACTAATTTCCATCATTCATAATCATCTATATTAGTTTCAGTTTCTCTATTTACTTGGGTTATAAGGTATTTAATTGCACAACAGCCCCATTGTATTGTATGCTGATATAGAATAAAATAAGTTTAATAAATGTTTATTTTTAAATCCTAACACAATAGGCCAATTAAATAATTTATCCTTTTTTTTTTAATGACACTAAAGACAGATGTGGACATTGGCCTCCTCATTGAGCCTACGCCATGTGCTCTTCTGCAGCCGCTCTCCAATTTCAAAGACCTAAATAACCTGAGCATCCTTCATGACTTCATTTCAGCTCAGCCTTCACCTACTCATATTATTCCTAATATTTGAATAATTAAATAATACATAAAGCTCATCAGCCATTTCTGATCAAAGAAACCTTTTTTTACAGACAACGGAAAATGTTTCAATATAAGATCTTAATATTCCTCTATTTTCATAATTTCTGTTGACCTGTTATAGTTAAAGTCATAGTTTCTGACTTTATAATATCATAATAGAATAATGATGTTTATAACATAATAATAGAATGTAATGATATTTTTTATAATGTTAATACAAATTTAAGATTCTGCGTTAACATATTAAACCACTAAGAGTCTTTAATGGTTCTCATCTTTATTTCCCTTTTATCAGTTATTTACAAAATAGTAGAGTTTTTGAAAAAATCAAGAAGATTTTGGTTAGTAATACAGTCAATAATCAAATATTAAACCATATTAATAATAAAAACATCCAATCTGATCACAAAAGTCCTACTTTATTTCTTTTTTCTCATGAACTTATCAGTCCTTAGGCCATTTTCAAGGGAAAGCCATTTTGTATTATTAATAATAAAGTGAAATTCTAACCTACAAGATTTCATTTTATTTATTAATCAAACAATATGTTCTGGTATGTTTTATTTCTTGGCCCACCCCATTATTTCTTATCAGCTTCAAATTTCCATAGAATATAAAATATATCATTGATGAGAATGTATTTCATAAAACTTTTTCAATCTGTGTTGTAATAAATGTATCAAAAAGTTATATTATAAATAATGCTTTTAAAGATCCTGAACTAAACTCCAAAAAGACCATAAAATTCCAATATTCTAATAATAGCAAACAAAATAAAGAATTTAGTATGGCAAAATGAAACTTGGTATTATTACTATATTATTAGTTCCTGACTTACGATACACTGTCTTCGATTAGTTAATTTCTTGAAAAGATGCCTTTTCTCAAGGTGCACATATTGTTAACGACATTCCTCATAACATAGTTACGAAGATTTTTGTTTTTTATGAATTCAATAATAGAAATATTTTAGAAACATTATAAACATACAATTTTAATGTGTTGAAATCATCAAGAAACGGTAGGTTTATTTTAATAACATGATATCTATTGAAGAACTGTAAGAAAACCTGCATTCTGGTATTTTGGAATATATTTTAAAACTTATAAACAATAAATAAATAGGGAGGGAATTTTTATTGATAATATTTCAGGGGAACACTTGTGGTTCATTGATCTTTGATTATTTATAGCCTGTAGCGGATTTATAATTCAATTTTGATGGGGAGGACAATTTTAAAAAAGTAATGTTTATAGAAACAACAATGCTTTTAGGGCTAAAATGTTTATAGGTGGCAGGGTGGCTTAGCAGGATAATGCATGTGCACTGCACCCTGTTGCCTAGCAACCTAATGGAAGATAATAGGATCAAATAAAAATAAAAAAAAATTTAATTGTGTCATAATTTAAGAAGAGTCCCCCTTGTATCTAACAATGTTAATAACAACTATTTTGTTTTGTTTTTAAATTATATTAACTTGTCAGGCAATCCACTGATTGTCATCAAATCTTGTAGTCCAGCCCCTGGAACTGAGAACCCACCTCTCCTCGGTGCTAAGTGAATGATGTTCCAAAAGGGCAAGTCACTCCCTTTATTATAAATTATAGGGGGAAAAACCTTATACTTTACATCAGAACATAGAGTATTTGTGCAACAATAACTCATTTAGGATTTGATCTTGAGGGACTTCAGCCAGAAAGCCTCTTTTTTTATTAAATATAATTATTACTTTGGAAAAAAAGAAAAAACCAACTACCTATACAAAATGGTGTTTAAGTGATTCTTGGAGTCTTATTAAATGTTCTTACATGAACAGTAGTACTTTTAATATAGATAATATTTAGTAGAGATAATTTTTTAATATATTTTTCATAAGACATGGTAATATTTTACCATTTTGGGGAGCTTCAGCAAGAAAGTTCCCCTTTACCCCATAGATCAACCTGTGTAACTCACCACCACTTAGTGCTAAAAAAGTCATGTCTTCTCCTTTAAATATATTTGGTTCTGGTTTCAGATGGATGTAAATGTTAAGGTATTCTAATTTAAGAAACTGTTTCTTTCTTTCAATTTCATTTCTTTCTTAATAATTTAAGCAGAGCTAGTCCATCAATATCCAAGACTATATATAATAAAATATAAGTCTATATAATAAAACTGTTTAAAAAAAAAAAAAATGATAAATCTATTTTAGTTATTTGCTTAGAACATAGCGTCACCTAAATATGTAAATAGCAAAATGTAATTTATTATGATCACTGAAATACCATAAGGGATAAATTCACAATGAAGCCTCATTGTCAAAATAAGTTTTTAAAATTTATTCCAAACAAACTAGGCACTGCTGAATCTATTTCACAAATTTTCTACTTTGTTTTACCCTTTACAGTACTTAAGTTGTAACTTTTGGGTACCCAATGGCCCAACAATGTGCTTTTTGTGGACCCAGTTTTAGGTCAGTAAGTTTTATTTGATTTTTTTTTCCTGTAGGAATTACATACTTCATAGTTCTTGGACTAGCCTTCTCCACCTTTTCTTATTTCTCGTCAACTGCTTTCCAGTTTCATGCATGTTGTTTTGCAACATCTTTGTTCATAAGAAAATCTCAACTTACATTACCAAATACATATCCAGCATTAGTTGCTTCCCCTTACATTATATATATAGATTTGAAAAAAATTTAATATTTACCACAATAGAATAACATTAAAGTAACCTGAAATTATATTTCTAGCCTCCTGAAGAACAATCGAGTATACTTTAATTACAAGGTTAGCCCTAACCATTATAAACATAAGTTAGATAAGTTAATTTGGGAAAAATAAATTAATATTCTAATAAAAGTTAATTTATTATTTGTATCAGATAAATTATATTATCATTAATTAGAGGAAGAGCTTAATAATCATTCATCAACAGGAACAGCTTTGGCATGATGGTTCCGCAGCAGATGATCTGAAAATTCTGCGTACGGTGCCCTAGATAATGGCACATCACGCCAGAGATCTGGCGTCAGATAACCATATGTTTTTGATATGGCTTCAAACGTAGCTTTTGCTAGAAACAAAAAAAAAAAAAATTAATATACTATCCTTTTGGATTTTTCCTGTATTTTCAGTGCAAACTTGATTTGCAAATAATTTTAATATTCTATAATATTTATCCCATAAATCAACAATGCAATGATTAACAAATTCTTTAAAACTTATAAAGTTATATATAATGTTCTTTACATAGTAAGAAGACAATGAATAAAAGAAAAATAACAATGAAGTCTTACATATTCTTTTACCGAAAAATAGTTTTACAATAAATTTCTGACAACTGAGCTCAGACCCTTTTAACCATCCTAGGAAATCAACTCCTCTGTGGAAACCGCAAAAGTTTGAACAAAATTATCATCATAGTTCAGACGATGATTAAAATAATTTGAAAAAGTAAAGAATTCACAATCTCAATATAATAAAAGTCAACTTCTCACCAGCTACCAGAAGTCCAGGACTGATATAAAAAGTATCATGCAACTTCTCATAAAAGGGAATTTTAAAAATAAAAGTTAAATTGAATGATAGAAACAGTCTTTAGATAAAAGATGCTTGAGGATCTCTTTTAACAAATAATTCAATAATAATTTGTGAAAAAGGTTGAGTTCAGATGCTTCTAAACCATCCTGAGAAAAAAAAATCATATAGTAGAAACCACAAAAGTTAAAATTTAACTCTCATTACTGTTCAAAAAATCTGAAACCTATTTGTACACAAAAGAAAAATGAATATAATATAAAAAGCTTATCTGCAGTTTAACGATTATAGAATTTTTTTTTTACTTTAAGTAATTTCTATTCTTTTGACCATGAGGAAAATTTATTCATAATATATAATTTTACTTATGTAATATTTTAAATAACAGAATGCATGTAAGTTGTGATCCTTCTACTATTATGAATCCATGGTTGTTGCTCTTTAGATCGAAATGGCAGATTTGATTTTGATGAAACATTTTTCTGTTGTTCCATTAGGTTTTACAACATTCTTAACCTTTTTGCTGGCAATCATCAGGGTGAATTTAAAAATATACCACAGATACAAGCTTTGACACTCGTATGAATGTTATAAGCTTAACTTTGTAGGATTAATTACTTATCGTTGAGTGTTACGGTCTTACAAGGCCTTCTCTTAGCCAGTCATCCCTATATTTTGCTCATGTCCTCCATCTCCTTAGTCCAAGGAACTTGAGGTCTTCCTCGACGCTATCCAATAATCTCACTCTTGGTCTTCTTCTATATTGTTCCCTCCGGTTTTTCCATACAACAGGCGTTTTGATATCCTAGTTTCTAACATCTGAGATATTTGAGGTGGGTTTTTTCACAAATGATACCAGGGCTGGTCTCCCATACATTGCATGAAACACAATTCTTCCTTGATTTCCAGATTGGCCTATGTATCCTGCAGAGTATTTTCCGTTCACAGACATTGAGTATCTCAGACTTCGTAGGATTATAATCGAGTAATTTCACTTTACTTTTCATGGAGTTTATACTACCGAAAATAAGGATATAAAATAAATCAAAATCAAGCAGTGAACTGTACTTACCAAAGTTTCCAAGAGTGCCAGTTGATCCTGTGGCAGATGTATAACAATCTTCAATACCTGCCATCTGCAGAAGCTTCTTGGGTACAGGGGCACCTACAATGCCAGTTCCTCTGGGTGCTGGAATAAGACGCACTTGCACACTACCACACTTTCCTGTAACCTGGACAAAGAATACTTAAGTTGCAAACAATTCAAGTTTAACTAATACAAAATATGATTCTTTTGATTTATAAAGGCTTTCCAGATATACTTTAACCACTTTTCTTTATATATTTCATACAATAATTAGGTAGTGGATTGATTTTTCATCACTAAAGAATTGAAAAATCTAATGCTATAATGATATAAAATTTATAAGTACATTATTTAAAATCTCCTTCAGTGAATGATCGGAACAAAAAACATAATTTTATCCAGAGATTAAGTGTAAAGCAACAGTAAATGAACTTCTGATTGAATTTATTTAAGTTTCAAAATACAAATTACATTTTGATATAATTGTAAGGTTTATACAGATTAAATAGCCAATTGAATAATTTACCTTGCAAGGTACAGTGTGGGGCTTTCCGATCTTGTTACCCCAATAACCACGCCTGACTGGAACGACAGAGAGCTTAGCAAGGATAATAGCACCACGGATAGCAGTAGCCACTTCTTTGGAACATTTCACGCCCAAACCAATGTGTCCATTGTGGTCTCCAATAGCTGTCACAATAACAAAAATCAAAAAACAATATTGAATTAACTAAAACCTAAAATGACAATAAAATAATACTAACCAACAAAGGCCTTAAATCTTGTTCTCTGCCCGGCTCTAGTCTGTTTTTGAACTGGCATGATCTTCAGAACTTCATCTTTCAATACAGGACCAATAAAAAAATCAATAATTTCAAATTCCTAAAACATTTATCTTAAATTAATTCATTAGAAAAATACAAATAATAAGATAGATAATTATCCAGTAAATTGATAGTTCTTGGGGGTGGATATCACAACTAGGTAACTGCAATTCAGCTTTGTCGATAAAAACCCAATTTAACGTTTTTTCATGATTTTGGAAGAATGTGAGACTTGAGTTTTCATTGTATTTTTGCAATCATTTCTAAATTTTATATAATTAGAAGTTTCTATAGTTCTAAAATGGAATTTTGTCCTGGTGATCAATTCACCTATTTTGGAAAATTTGAAGTAGTATCTATAAATCGCCAGCAATAGTAACTTGATTATTGCCCTTTTTTTAATCGAACCTTTCTCTACAATTTCTCCTCTTTTGCAAAATTTGTAGTTACCTAGCATTCACCGCAAGAATTGATTCTAACCTTGATGGGTAAAGAGAATAGATATATATCTTCCAGGGTTCTTATTTTTCCATCCTTGACCAGACGACCTAACTTTGTAACTGGCTGCCATTCCTTCTCTCCTTCCTTACCACGTCCTCTGCCTCTGCCACGCCCACGTCCTCTTCCTCGTGGTCCACCACGTCCACTGCCACGACTTCCGAAACCTCCTCTAAAGCCTCCTCGGCCACCGGCTGGAGCTACATCCGCCATATTTCTGAAAAATAATAACTGTTTACAAACCAGGAACACAACACAAATACAGTCAAACTTTTTTATAATTTGCAATAACTTTATTTAAAATTTTTTAGGTGGTTACACTCTTGCCTAGGTATTTAATATTTAAGTATAATTTTTGTCTCAATATTTTTCTGAGAATTTAAACAAGATCAGATGAACAATAACCCTGCCTTGTAGGGCAATAAGCAATAAAGTAAAAGTGTTTTAGATGCTTGCAAAAATTTAATGACTGCTGAACTCTTAAAATTATTTGCTGATGGCTTTAAATGACTGCTGAATTATTTGCTTAAAAATAAAAGTTTTAGATTAAAATTAAAACAAAAAAAATAGAAGCTTGAATATAACTGTACTGCCTTATTCTATTATCGTTGCACCTTAATATATGTTTTATTCCAGAATCCTATTTTGGCATCACAGATATTTATTGTTTAGATATAATTCTAATATAACTAGCAGCTTTAACAAATATTTTATATAGATTTATTTTTGTTGAAGTTGTTTCAATTAAAATTTTTTGACTAGAACTGGTTAGAATTGAGAGCTCATAAATAAAAAATATAGAACTACATTTGAATCCGCAAAAGTTGCATAACATGAGTAGAAAAAGGCCTTTCTTTTAATCTGAGTTCTCAATTGAAACCATTTATTACTTTGAGGGGAGCATGGTTGCTTAGTGAGCAAGGTGCTATGTTCCTATCTCCTGACCCTAGGTTCAAGTCCAGTTGTGAGAGATAATTATCAATTCTATAAAAATAGAGGATATTAGGATTGAGGATGGAGTCAGGCGACTATCCTGAGCAACACCCAGCCTCTATAAAGTGGGAGCTCATAACCTTGTGAAAAGGCCTGATTTTGGCCATGCTGTTTGCACAACTCTTTGCCTAGAATTAGTATTTACCTAAAAAGTACTGAATCCAAGATCCATTATGGATTGTACTTGCATAGTTTTGATTATTTAACTAGCTACTGGGTAAAATCAATGTGAAGGCAACAATAAAAAACAAAACACCTTTTGCTAGAAACATGGCATTAAAAACTGAGCAGAAATCAAATCAACATTCAGAATTTTTCATGGATCACATAGTCATCAATAATTTTTTCTGATAAATATTCATGATCCAAGTAGGACTAAACATCAGATATATAAATATTTAATGAGAATAACAAATTCATGTACATAAAAAACTTGAATATACGATAAAAAAAAAGCTGAGAAGAATGCATGTTTAAAAAACACAACAAGAATTGAAGGACATTACTTTTTCCAGTAAGTGTAAAGAAAATATCTTAACATGGCAACTACTTAAAAAATATGCGGCCATTATACCAGGACATCCCATAACATCTAACATTTTCCTCTAAATCCAAACAAAGGCTTGGCGGAAATTACATACTTGATTGGCGGTTTGTTGGTTTATAATAAAAAAAATATGAAACAGCAAATGTTCGTTGCACGCAGAGTGAAGCCGCTGTTCCAGAAATTTGTGCTTTTGTCATCTCACCACAATGGCTGCGAATGGCGTGTGGAAAGATTTGCTTACCCACACAAAAGTTATGTCCACAATGGAAGAGAAATTAATTATAATATTACAGGACAAAATTGTATTCAATATAATTATTCTAATGTCAATTATAATTTTAGATAGATTTAATGAATAATCTATATTGATTATTCAAGACAGTGTATTCTCTAATTATGAAATCTAAACGTGTTCAATTCAATTAATAGCCTATATTTCACATTCAAAAATCGTCGAATATATGCACAAAAGGAATTTAGCGATGTGGTACGAATATTTGAAATAATTCATCAAAAATTGAACATGACTCCTAAATTTAATGAACACGTGGTCCTGAGTTGTGAATATTGTCTCCGCATTTACCAGCTATTGTAATAAAATAAACAGTCTTTAATTGCAAAAAAAAAATACATATATTTAGACAACTCGCTCAAATCTAACATGCCTACATATTAATTTTAAAAATAAAAATAATAACAATAATAGTAACGATCCTTACCTCAACCAGGTCCTAGCTAGTCTGAAAGGGCCCAAGTTATAAGGGTAGGTCTAGCTTAGGTAGGTACAAATTTGGAAATCGGAAACAGCCGAGAGCCCCCGATCTTGCCCGATCGTTGCAATACCTAATCTGCCGAAATAAGAAATAATAACTTTCTATTTCTTTTTTTGTTATTATTTATTCGTTTATTTTTAAATGTAAGATACCCTAAAATATTGTATTTTTTTTCAATCCAGTAACTAATGGTATGTATCGGCTATCCAAAAATGTGGCTATACAGTACTTCGAATCAAGTATCTGAGTACTGAAGTAATCGTTTCATTTATATGAAGTATAAATTAAATGTATGTATATAAAAAAATGTACAATTATTTTCCAGGCTGTGGCGTATCTTGGGGGTTGGTGGAAGGGGAGCACGGCCCGGGGTCGGCTTACTTCAAAGGCCCCTCGACTTAGATTTTTAAAGTATCTTTATTGCAAAACAATTATATACGTTTTGTTATCAGAAGGGGATTTTATTATTTTTTATTTTGATTATTATATATTGTTTTAATAGTCAGGTTTGCAAACGAAGCCAGGACGATTTCAAATATACAGCTGTGTGTTCATGCAGGCATTTAAAAAAAAAAAAAAGAGAAAGAAAGAAAAAAAAATCAGAACAAAAATTTGTCTTCCGTTTAACGCTACAGACATCGCGGAACAAATTTGATTTCATGTCCTACCACTTAACGAACTAAAAAGATTTTGCCTCGAATGGGGAGGAACATTTTCGTTAATTTTTTCAAGTAGAGGGTGTCCTTTTTTCGTAATTAGTTTCTTTCAAGATGTTGAAATACTAAAAAACATAAAAGTCGATATCAAACATAAAAATTATTTTTTATATCTGTTGATATTTTATTTTTAATATTTTATATGTTTTTAGAAGGGGAGAGCTGTCCCACCTAGTCTTTCTCATCTCCCCTTGCCTGAGTTTTGTTATTTTTTAAATTGGCAATTTAGCACGGAGATCTCAGAGACTGCAAGATAGTCTAAAAACGAAAATCTTCAATATCAGGGGCTGATCTACGGGAGGGGACGGGAGCTTTCAGGCTGAAGCTCCTCCACCCTCCCCCTCACCCCTCTCCCCCCAAATTGTAAAACATTACCATATCTTATGGAAAAAATATTAAAAAATTATGTCTAAAAGTGTTATTATTCATGTAATTACATTTAATTGGACTTCATGAATCACTTAAACACCATTTCTTATAGGTTGTTAGTTTCTTTCTATTTTTTCCGAAGTAATTAGCATTATATAAATTAAAAATATATGTTTTGGGCTGAAGCCTCCCCCACCAAAAATTAAATCCTGGTTCCGCTACTGGTCAATATTGTTGCAAATTTTCAGTTTAACTTTTTATAGAATGTCTTTATCACTAGGAGCATGGTTTCCATGATACAACCAGCAAATAAAAAAAAGTGACATTTTGGTTACCCTCTCCCTCCCCCACATTTGGCTCACTACCTAGGAGTGGGGACTCTAAATTTGTCCCAAAATGTCTTGAACCTCATAAATAGGATTACTTTCATTTTCCTCTATAATCGTTCATTGAATGGACTAATAGTTGAACAAATCAACTATAAAAGAGATATGTTTTTTTATGAAAAAGTATTGATAATATTATTATGGTACTAGTGCAGATTTCACAGTAAATTCATTTTAATAATGGCATGTTCAATTTAATCCACAAATGGATGAAATCCCAGATCTAGTGTAAAATGGTTCAATAATTTTTTTATTCTTAATATTTTTATTTAAAATAATTAAATAACATTCTCTAATATTCTTCTGTTTTTTTTTTTTTTTACAATGGTAATATCTTTGTATAATACAATAAACTTTTCCCCAAGGGAATTAAAGCCTTCTAAATTTATTTAATTTATTTTATCGTAATAACTTTTCGAGCCTGTTGGCTCATTTTCTAGTTTTTCTTTTTTTTTTCTGTCTGCATATTTCCAAAAACTGACTGTTAGTTTATCCTTAATGAAACTAAATATACTTATACTTAAACTACTTATCCTTAATGAATTCCTGTTGCCGTTCTAACCAATAGAGAATATAATAAGGTGTAATGTTCAAATTAAAATGTCAGAGTTTATTATCAATCCAAATTTTATTTTAAAACAAATATCTATATGTTTTTATGAAAAAATTAATATTAATATTGAAAAGCAAAAATTATAAGAACATGATGTTTGGAAATATAAATAAAGGAAAAAAAAGAAAAGATAAATAAGGAAAAAAACCAAAGATGAATAAGAAAACAAACCAACTGGATTGAAATGTTGTTCAAGATAAAACAACATGATAAAAAAGTTTTTAGTATAATCAAATTCTTCTTCTAAGATGAAAGAGTATTTACAGCTCTGCATGTCTGATGTACGCAGCAAAATTACTATCCCATAACAACCGTTTTATAGTGTAATTGTTATTAATCGTTTTAATTATGTAGTTATATTCTCAAAACTTACTAAAGAAAAAAAATTAATAAAATATTTCCTTTACTGCACTGTGACTAGAAGTTACTGTAAAAGTGACAGGGCAGAGTGAAGTAAAGTGGTATGCCGCAATATGGGAAACCCTAGGTCCTGGCAGAGGAAGGTTGTCATCTTTGAGAAAAGGAAACTTCTTGTGCCAAACCATTAACAGAACCAGGTTTGCTCCTCAGCGTGAGAAATCAGTATTATACAGTTTGGCTACCTCCCATCATACAAAATAACATTTTTAGTATCGAATAATATGTTTTTAATTTTTAAATGGACTCAAAACAAGTTAAATAAACTGTGTGGCAATATGATTTCACCAAAAATTAGTTGTGATTTTGAATCAATAATATTTAATACGTAATGAATAAAATAATCTTATTAAATAATATTTCAAACAGTTGTGGGCCTAGTCAAATACTGCTCACATTATCAGTAATATTGATAATGTTTCAATCTTTAGATCTCCACAACATTAAGAGTAATTAATCTTGTAAAAGCTGGAAGGCCCAAAAGAAGTTCCTAAAAATTTCTTTCCATTTCTAAAATTTTTTTTTTTATAGCAAAAACGGTGTCTTTTTAGTGGCTGTAGCAAAATAAATGCAACTTTGATGTAACAAATTTTTATTTTATTACATAATAAATTATCAGTACATCAATACCTACATAAACAAAGTTTTTATATATAATTGACACTACATAAATATATTCATTTCGGTATCCTCAGCCTAATTATTATGTAATAATTTAAAGACATATTGATTATATAGTTTAATATAAGTATATAAGATCAGTTTGAGGAAGAAGTGATATTGCATTTATTGTTCCATTTTTTCTTCTGTTTTTTCAGACTTCTTATCCTTTTCATTAGTCACCGCTGGCGTCTTTGTTTGAACAATTGGGATAGTTCTGCCTTCTATTTCTGGTGTTGGCTATAAGGAAAAAGATATATAATTAGAGAAATATAATTAGAAATTATCATAAATATATGAGTTGAAATAAAAAGGTTAAATAATATTGAATACAAAACTAAAATAATACTATTTACCTTCTTCTTGGCTTTGAGGGTAAGCACACCATCAGTTGACAAGTTGGATTCAATTGCACTTTGATCTACATCCTGAGGAATCTTGTAACGGCGGGTAAACTGACGAGTGATGAAACCGTGTTCATCGGATCTCTCTTCATGTTTTCCTTCAATTACTAGATAGTCATCAACTACTTTCACTTTAAGTTCATCTGGCTTGAACTGCTGAACATCCAAGTTGATTTTGAACTCTGACTTATCGGATGAGATAGTAGAAATTCCAGAATCACCTAAAGCCATGCTTCTCCATGGTCGCAAATAACCACAACGCATCGGAGATACCTGAAATTCATAGCAAAAGTTGAAAATATTTATATTAACCTTGTCTATATTTGGTTAAATGAAATTGAATCTCTAGGTATTGAACATATTTCTGGAAAAAGATTTTTTTCACAAGAATTTTCAAATGTTTAATAAGTTGTTGGACTGGCGATAATTAAAGGAGTAAAAATTTCAGTAGGGTGAGTAATTTTTTTCATTTTGTTCAGAAAGTGAATATCTTGAAACTGTACTTTAATGATGGGTGTATATCATAAATAATATGTATATACTTTAGTAGTATATGTATATCAAACACATATTCTTAAAATAGAGTTAGGAAACATTCCATTCCTGGACAAAAACAAAATTGACATACTCCACTATCATTCCAACGCCCTCAATTGAATAATATATTTAAATTTTACCAAAAGGTAAATTTATTTAGGGTAGCACAATGTGTATGTGGAGGATTTAGTTGGATCTGACCTTAATTTGGGCTTTGATTATTACAGGCTGGCAATGATTGTTGGGAATATTAGCTTCACACAATTTGGCTTCATTAAGCCTTAGTAGCAGTATTATTATTCACACTGACTTATTTGCCTTATGGTCAATTTAAATTAATCAAATTATACCTTCATTGTAATTTATTGAACGTTTCAGGGTATTGAAGATATTGCAATAATAAGCAATATTTTACTCCCCCAAGAAATTAAGTGTCACAATAATTCAATATATATATATATATATATATATATATATATATATATATATATATATATATATATATATATATAATAAGATTGATTCAATGATTAATATACAACTCTTTGTAGTTTATTCAATTTCTTTGGGGAAGAAAATATTAATGAGGGGGACGAAAATTCCACAAAATGTTCAAAAAATTGCAAATTAAAGACTAATTGGATTAATTTAAACTGACCATAAGGCAAATAAATCAGTGTAAAAAGAATAAAACGACGTTTTTAGTAAATTAATTGGTCGCCAAAAATTGTCGGTTTTTCTTTTTTCTTTTTTTTAGGAAGAACTAATTCCTGAAACAGGTTATTAAAAACTAGTAAAAATAAAATTTAAAGAATTTTTATAAACAGTTTTGAAAACAAATGCCTCTCCTCACATGCCAAGAGTGATGAACGAAAGTTTTGCAGGAATTCTTATTTTTTTAACAAAATATCAATAAAATTTCTCGTTCCTAATAAATAACAAAAAAAAAATCCAATACACTGGCAACAGTTTTTGTTTTCAAATGAAAATTTATTTTATGAAGCTGCTAAAGATTTTTCATAATAAATTTTTGTTCTATTCGTACCCAGAGAAATTCTTAACCGATATTATTTAATAACATTAACATTAAAAGATGTGAAATTCAATACGTAACAGCTAAAATAAATTCTAAATTTTTATGAAAATGGATTCGGTATCCTTAATGTATATTTACTCCGCTGTAGCCAGAATAGGGAAGGGATAAACAGATCAATCCTCAAGTAATGAGATCTATAAATAATGAAGTTTGTAAAAACAATGAAATCTAGCTCATTCAAGCTATCACTTGAACTATTGAACGTATTGAACTATAAAGGTATGCTAGCAATAAGAAAGCTTCCGCATTCCTTTCTTTCTTTTTTTTTTTTTTTTTGCTTATTAGATTTTGGAATTCACATTATATTTTAATAACTATAGTTACAGCAAATTATTAATATTTTCTGATCAACAAATTTTTTTTTTAACATTGATTTAAGAAATTAAAAGATAAATAAACATATTCCAATAAAATATATTTTAAAAATCAATATAAAACTATGACAAATTATTTAAATGATAAATGTATTTGTTAATTAAAAAATATTTGATTACGATTTTCTGAAAATGGAGGAAGTTTTTACAAATTGATAATAATGTTCTGCATATTCTTTAAATTTTATTTTTTCTAGTTTTTAATAACCTGTTTCAGGAATTAGTTCTTCCTAAAAAAAAGAAAAAAGAAAAACCGACAATTTTAGGCGACCAATTAATTTACTAAAAACGTCGTTTTATTCTTTTTACACTGATTTATTTGCCTTATGGTCAGTTTAAATTAATCCAATTAGTCTTTAATTTGCAATTTTTTGAACATTTTGTGGAATTTTCGTCCCCCTCATTAATATTTTCTTCCCCAAAGAAATTGAATAAACTACAAAGAGTTGTATATTAATCATTGAATCAATCTTATTATATATATATATATATATATATATATATATATATATATATATATATATATATATATATATATATATTGAATTATTGTGACACTTAATTTCTTGGGGGAGTAAAATATTGCTTATTATTGCAATATCTTCAATACCCTGAAACGTTCAATAAATTACAATGAAGGTATAATTTGAATAATTTAAATTGACCATAAGGCAAATAAGTCAGTGTGAATAATAATACTGCTACTAAGGCTTAATGAAGCCAAATTGTGTGAAGCTAATATTCCCAACAATCATTGCCAGCCTGTAATAATCAAAGCCCAAATTAAGGTCAGATCCAACTAAATCCTCCACATACACATTGTGCTACCCTAAATAAATTTACCTTTTGGTAAAATTTAAATATATTATTCAATTGAGGGCGTTGGAATGATAGTGGAGTATGTCAATTTTGTTTTTGTCCAGGAATGGAATGTTTCCTAACTCTATTTTAAGAATATGTGTTTGATATACATATACTACTAAAGTATATACATATTATTTATGATATACACCCATCATTAAAGTACAGTTTCAAGATATTCACTTTCTGAACAAAATGAAAAAAATTACTCACCCTACTGAAATTTTTACTCCTTTAATTATCGCCAGTCCAACAACTTATTAAACATTTGAAAATTCTTGTGAAAAAAATCTTTTTCCAGAAATATGTTCAATACCTAGAGATTCAATTTCATTTAACCAAATATAGACAAGGTTAATATAAATATTTTCAACTTTTGCTATGAATTTCAGGTATCTCCGATGCGTTGTGGTTATTTGCGACCATGGAGAAGCATGGCTTTAGGTGATTCTGGAATTTCTACTATCTCATCCGATAAGTCAGAGTTCAAAATCAACTTGGATGTTCAGCAGTTCAAGCCAGATGAACTTAAAGTGAAAGTAGTTGATGACTATCTAGTAATTGAAGGAAAACATGAAGAGAGATCCGATGAACACGGTTTCATCACTCGTCAGTTTACCCGCCGTTACAAGATTCCTCAGGATGTAGATCAAAGTGCAATTGAATCCAACTTGTCAACTGATGGTGTGCTTACCCTCAAAGCCAAGAAGAAGGTAAATAGTATTATTTTAGTTTTGTATTCAATATTATTTAACCTTTTTATTTCAACTCATATATTTATGATAATTTCTAATTATATTTCTCTAATTATATATCTTTTTCCTTATAGCCAACACCAGAAATAGAAGGCAGAACTATCCCAATTGTTCAAACAAAGACGCCAGCGGTGACTAATGAAAAGGATAAGAAGTCTGAAAAAACAGAAGAAAAAATGGAACAATAAATGCAATATCACTTCTTCCTCAAACTGATCTTATATACTTATATTAAACTATATAATCAATATGTCTTTAAATTATTACATAATAATTAGGCTGAGGATACCGAAATGAATATATTTATGTAGTGTCAATTATATATAAAAACTTTGTTTATGTAGGTATTGATGTACTGATAATTTATTATGTAATAAAATAAAAATTTGTTACATCAAAGTTGCATTTATTTTGCTACAGCCACTAAAAAGACACCGTTTTTGCTATAAAAAAAAAAATTTTAGAAATGGAAAGAAATTTTTAGGAACTTCTTTTGGGCCTTCCAGCTTTTACAAGATTAATTACTCTTAATGTTGTGGAGATCTAAAGATTGAAACATTATCAATATTACTGATAATGTGAGCAGTATTTGACTAGGCCCACAACTGTTTGAAATATTATTTAATAAGATTATTTTATTCATTACGTATTAAATATTATTGATTCAAAATCACAACTAATTTTTGGTGAAATCATATTGCCACACAGTTTATTTAACTTGTTTTGAGTCCATTTAAAAATTAAAAACATATTATTCGATACTAAAAATGTTATTTTGTATGATGGGAGGTAGCCAAACTGTATAATACTGATTTCTCACGCTGAGGAGCAAACCTGGTTCTGTTAATGGTTTGGCACAAGAAGTTTCCTTTTCTCAAAGATGACAACCTTCCTCTGCCAGGACCTAGGGTTTCCCATATTGCGGCATACCACTTTACTTCACTCTGCCCTGTCACTTTTACAGTAACTTCTAGTCACAGTGCAGTAAAGGAAATATTTTATTAATTTTTTTTCTTTAGTAAGTTTTGAGAATATAACTACATAATTAAAACGATTAATAACAATTACACTATAAAACGGTTGTTATGGGATAGTAATTTTGCTGCGTACATCAGACATGCAGAGCTGTAAATACTCTTTCATCTTAGAAGAAGAATTTGATTATACTAAAAACTTTTTTATCATGTTGTTTTATCTTGAACAACATTTCAATCCAGTTGGTTTGTTTTCTTATTCATCTTTGGTTTTTTTCCTTATTTATCTTTTCTTTTTTTTCCTTTATTTATATTTCCAAACATCATGTTCTTATAATTTTTGCTTTTCAATATTAATATTAATTTTTTCATAAAAACATATAGATATTTGTTTTAAAATAAAATTTGGATTGATAATAAACTCTGACATTTTAATTTGAACATTACACCTTATTATATTCTCTATTGGTTAGAACGGCAACAGGAATTCATTAAGGATAAGTAGTTTAAGTATAAGTATATTTAGTTTCATTAAGGATAAACTAACAGTCAGTTTTTGGAAATATGCAGACAGAAAAAAAAAAGAAAAACTAGAAAATGAGCCAATAGGCTCGAAAAGTTATTACGATAAAAT